TGTTTTTGTTTCCCACGATCGGAGTGTATGCTTAGCAGTGTGGATGGAGATGTGTGTGCTTGTTGATATCCGTGGGCCGGAGGGGAGGGAGGGAGAGAATGAGAGAGAGAGAGAGAGAGAGAGAGAGAGAGAGAGAGAGAGAGTGAGAGAGAGAGTGTGTGTGTCTGCGTGAGAGGCCCTAGGGCCGCTTCCATCACCGGGCGGCGTCGGCTTGCCAGGATTGCTGAAGCCTCACTAGGGAGAGCTAGGCAACCTCTCTTGGATTGTGTGGGCACCGGAATCGGGCGGAAGGCAGGCTTCTCAACAGGTCCCATCATTTACGCAGAGAAAGAGGAAGCTCGGGGACAGCCCCGTGCCTTTCGGCTCGCCTGGCAGCGGCAGCAGCTCTCTCGCTCGAGAGCCACAGTTTGTAGTTAACAAAGGGTAGAAGTCCTTTCCGGAATTTTCCCCCTGCCCTGGATTGCAAATTTCCACCACTGTCTAAATATAAAAATCGAGAGGGAAAAAAAAAATCCCCCCCTCCCCTCGAACTTTAAAAGAAAAATGTGCCCGCGTTGAAATGCTGCAAGTGCTTTGACTCCGCTGTCCTTTTCAGGACTTCAATGAGCCAGGCTGGCTTTTGTGCCTGGAGCTCAGCCCCATTTGCGCAGAGGGGACTGCGGAATAGGTCGCAGAGGGGGAAACCCTGGTATGGGCAGGGAGCCTGGGGTGGGGGAACAGTTGTGTCCCCAGGCTGCAAATGCCCCCCACCCTCCCAGGAAGCAGGCAGACTGTGCTTGTGCCTCCTGGGGATGAAAAGGGATGAAAAGTTTTGCATGGCCGAGTGTGGAGAAAAGCAGAGACAATCGGGGCTGGTCTGTGCTTAGAAAGAAATGCATTGCTGTTTTAGCTGTCCGACCTAGTCAGGGGAAGCTCGACATGCAATTAAAGAGCTTGGATTAAAAGATACTTTGGGGCCCAGAGTAGAAATGTGATTCTGGAAGGTCGAGGAGGCCTTTTGGTCCTGATGGCACAAAATGACAGCGGGGGCTGTTATATTTCTGGTCTGTTTCGCGGAACCAGCTCTTTGACTTATAAATAACAGATTCAGGTCACAGGCAGCTCGTCCAAGACCAGCTTTTAAGACTGCACTTTCCCCCATTTCAAAGTCAGATGTCAGTGTTATTAGAGGAGCCAGGCAAGGCCTGAGGAGGGGGCTGGGGGCGGGGGGCACTGGTAGGAGGTTTGATAAAACCAGTCATAGCCACACAGTTGCCTTGTTTTTCCTGAAAAAAGAAAGAAAGAAAGAAAAAGAAAAGGAAAGGAAAGAAGGGAAGAAAAAAAGTAGAGATTGTCAGAAGAGTTGCTGAAATGTTGAATGAGAGAGGAGTCATCTCTGTTGGCATGGCCTCTCTTCTTGTTGAGCTGAATTATTGAGAAAACCAACAAGGCGGTTCCCCTTCTCCTTGGAAATTTTGAATGTGCCATTAATGGGGAGCCCGGGTCTTGTCAAAGGAGTGGACATGAAGCTTCAAGGCTAAATGTCTTGTCCCTTGGAACTAACTACTCGGAAACGAGGGTTGCACTTTGCAGTCTGCAAAGCACACTTTCCTGTGTCAGAAATTTGAGCAGGGCTTGCTTGTTTGCAGTGGAGGTTCCATTGGGGGTTGGATCAGATCATGCTTAGGTAAACATTGGAAAGAGACAGTAGGTGGCTGGGCTGGATTTTGCAATGCCCTAAGTTAACCAAAGGGAACCCCCCCAACCCGCCCCCCCCAAAATAAAAAACCCAACCCACCACTCTACTAAAATAACCCACCCCAAAATCTTCAGTAGGTGGCTGGGCTGGATTTTGCAATGCCCTAAGTTAACCAAAGGGAACCCCCCCAACCCGCCCCCCCCCAAAATAAAAAACCCAACCCACCACTCTACTAAAATAACCCACCCCAAAATCTTCAGTGTGATCCTGGTTTCGTTTTTCAGATTTCACAGATACCCATAACAACTTGTTAAGATCTTGGCCTCCTGACAAGTTCCTCTGTGGAGCTTTGAGGCCTGACAGCCTGTCTCCGAGGGAGCCCTTGCCTGGGAGAGGTGAGGCAGGATTTTATAGGCCTGGACCTTCCAGCTCTAACCTGGTCCACGTTTCTCAATGGGAAACGATTTTCTCTGCCTCTCCCAGGTTACAGTCGGAGGCCCTGGCCCCAGGAATGGTATTTCTGGTCAATAACGTCTTCCAGCTGTGCCTGGAGTTAGCATTCCAGCATCGTGCAGCGGAGAGTCGATTTCCCCCATTGCCTCGTGTTCTCCTTGAATTAACTTGGCCTGCTCTCCCGCTTCTCCGCAGATGGCCTCGCCTCCTCCCGAGTCCGTCTGTACTTCTTCATCTCCAATGAAGGCAACCAGAACCTGTTTGTGGTACAGGCCAGCCTGTGGCTTTACCTGAAGCTGCTGCCCTACGTCTTAGAGAAGGGCAGTCGGCGGAAGGTGCGGGTCAAAGTGTACTACCAGGAGCAGGGCCATGGAGACCGGTGGAATGTGGTAGAGAAGAAGGTGGACCTGAAGCGCAGCGGCTGGCACACCTTCCCACTCACTGAGGCCATCCAGGCCTTGTTTGAGCGGGGCGAGCGGCGTCTCAACCTGGACGTGCAGTGCGACGGCTGCCAGGAGCTGGCAGTGGTGCCTGTGTTCGTAGACCCTGGCGAGGAGTCACACCGGCCCTTTGTGGTTGTGCAGGCGCGGCTGGGTGACAGCAGGCACCGCATTCGCAAGCGGGGCCTGGAGTGCGATGGCCGGACCAACCTCTGTTGCAGGCAACAGTTCTTTATCGACTTCCGCCTCATTGGCTGGAACGACTGGATCATTGCCCCCACCGGCTACTATGGAAACTACTGTGAGGGCAGCTGCCCGGCCTACCTGGCGGGGGTCCCTGGCTCTGCCTCCTCCTTTCACACAGCTGTGGTCAACCAGTACCGCATGCGGGGCCTGAATCCCGGCACAGTGAACTCCTGCTGCATCCCCACCAAGCTGAGCACCATGTCCATGCTCTACTTCGATGACGAATACAACATCGTCAAGCGGGATGTGCCCAACATGATTGTGGAGGAGTGTGGCTGCGCCTGACGCAGCAGGGCTGTGGCGGTAGGGTGCCAGGACAGTCCCGACGGGCTTCTTGCAGCCCCTCTTGGAAGGGGGTACATGGCAGGCTGACCATGGTGGTTCAGTTGGGCTGCCCAGAAGGTGCCAGGGTGAGGCCTGAAATATCTTTCTACTACTTTATCCAGCAATCAGTCAAAAGCAGAGCAAGAACCCTCAACTGACATGAAATACTTTAAAATGTACACGTAGACACGCACAGCCAGACGCATCCTGCCATCCACACAGCAGCCTCCAGGATACCAGCAAATGGATGCGGTGACAAATGGCAGCTTAGCTACAAATGCCTGTCAGTCGGAGAGAATGGGGTGAGCTGCCACCATTCCTACCAGCTGGCCC